TGCTGCTGTCCACAGATCTTGCATGGCCAAGGAGGCCGTGGCTTCGCTGACGGTGGACTTCGGTGCTTCGGGACGTCAGCAGGTTCATCTGATGCTGCCAAAGAAATGAAGGTGTGAGCGCTTTCCTTGCGGCTGACACGACCTCTGGCTGGTGTGTCTCGACCCGAAGTCGAAAATACATCTGGTGTGCCGTCGACCGGTCCACAGGCGATCCTAGCCTCCCTGTTCAGGAAACTCACAAACTCTTCGAACGGCGGGTAGCCCGGTTGAGTCCCCGCGTCAGGCTCGAACAGTCTCTTGTCGACGACACGCCTCCACTTGTCCACGATGTGTTTAGGCAGTTTCCGCAGGATCTCGTTGTTCTGGTTGCAGTCGTTAAGAGATTCGAGACCCGATACGTGATGTGAGACCGCGAGGCAGCTATCCAGGTAGTCCGCCAATCGTCTTAGACCGCTCCCATCACCAGCGCGCACCGGTGGCCACTCCTTCAGCTTCTTGCGGTACGTGCGTGAGACGATGAAGTCATTTCCGTAGCGGTCGTACAGCTTCTTCTTCGCTTGATTGTACGCGTCTGCTGACCTAAGGAGAAGAAATCCTTCAATCACTGTTCTCGCTTCTCCTCCGGTGTACCTGGAGAGGTAGTGCAGTCGTTCTGTCGCCGATGACGTTCTGCTCTCGATGAAGCTCTCGAAGGCCTTCACCCAGGGATGAAACCTCTCGACGCTTCCCTGGAAGACCTCCGGTTCCAGCGCTGGAAGCTGGCCTCTTCGCTGCTCTGCGAACAGATCTGATAAGTTAGTGGGTCCCGCAGCTAGCGTCCCGGAGCTACGTTCTACATTTAGCTGCTCCTCTGGCTCTATCATCGCGCTGGGCCTGAAGATACGTGCGCCAGGGTTCAGCCCATGATGAAGTGTAGTCGATTCAGGCCCGTCAGCTACGCTGATGTGAGCGCTGCCGCCCTGCGCAGATGACAGAGGCGCTGCTCCGGCATCTGCCACGCTGAGCGAAACGCTGGCGCGCTGAGAGGAAGATATATCGCCGCGAACTTCGCTGGTTGTCACGGGAGCACCTGCACTTCGAACAGGTCCTACTTGGATTGACTCCGCTGGAGCTGTCACGTCATTCTCCGCAGGTAGTCTGTAGGTCTTTCCGTCTTCCAACTCCATCTCAAATTTGTGCAGTGCCTTACTCTGCTCTTCCACAGTGCTGAGCTCCACTTCCAGTTCAAGATCCTCCTCTTTCCACTTGATGGCCTGTTTCTCTTGTTCGATTTCTCGTCTTCTCAGCACAGCCGCTTGTCTCGCTCGCAGGGCTGCTTTCTGATGTTCGTCTTGCATTTGCAGGATCTTCAAGGAGGCTCGAACAGAAGCAACCGATGTCGATGTCCGAGAGTTCCCACTGCGACCGGTCACCGACGGAGCTCGGGCTTCTGTGCTCCTCAGTTTCTCCAGGGCTTCTTGCATCTGCAAGTTGAGTGCTTGAAACTGTTCAATGTCTCTCTGAAGGAGGGCGACCTCGTCTGATGGCAGCAGGATTCTCAGGTCTGACAGAGTCTGAAGAAGATTCACATAGCAATGGGTCCACTCCTTCAGTTCTGGTTTTCCCAAGTCTGGGACGATAGTGCCATCGTCCTCCACCATCTTCTCAGTGTGCCTTTTCAGCTCCTTGAGCTGCCTCTTGAACACCTTCGTCTTCATCTCCTTCTGGTGTTCTCTTCCTGCCTCAGTCAGGCGCACCTGTCGTCTACTTGCAGATGTCTGTTCCTGGTTCTCTTCCCCGTCCATAATCGTATAGTTCAGGGGGACTGGGAGTTAGCTGAGGTCTACACTCCACTGCACCTGAATCGTTAGTAGACAACTGCCTTTCCAACTACAAATAGGTCTCCAGATAATGAAGAATGAGTGACACGATGTCAGGCTAGACAGCCCTCAGGTTAGGATCAAATGTGAGGATCATCTCTACTGGCCGTGAACATCAATCTACTGTGTCACCACTCTACTGATGGGCAACACCACCACCTCACAACAGGTGGAAGAATTATAACTGATCCGGCCAACAGGAAAAAAACTACCAGGGCAGAGTTCTACAAGATTTATTGTGATCAGGGCTTGTAGTCGGTGGGCCCACAGTAGTCGCAGACCGTGATGACCGTTATAACTGTGGGGACAACGGACGAAAGGTGTAATACATCCGGCACATAACCAATCGCCGCAGTAGGGGGTAGCACATGAACGAGCGAACAGATCATGTTGGTTACTAAGAAACTGAACTCAAACTCTAAGCACCGCTCGTTTAAATATACCAGACTGGCTGATTAAATAATCCAATCACACAGTATCGCGCTGTCTAGCCAGTGCCAGTAGTGCCTATCGAAGAGATATAAGTGAGACTCACTTCGTCCGGGATTGTGAGTGGTCGTGCGTGCAGTCAATGTGGCTACCAAGCACAGTAGTCAGCTATCAGAGGCAAGGCACACATATGCGACACCTGAAAGACAAATGCCAGTCAAAAACAAATCCGTATATCTTGATGCGGTTAGCCGCTGGGGCGGGAACAATATCCGATCATTTGCGTCCATTGATGATATTCCTAACGACATAAAATCAGGATGGATGCCGTTAAGACTTGGGAGGTCTGAGGGGAATAACCAATGCTCCTGTAGGAAAACTATATCCGAGTTGTCACAAAGCAATTTAACCCCTCCGGCGTTGCGTTTTGATGACCTACAATTATATGTGCTAATCCTCATACAATTTATAGCTAAAAAGGATGTCACAGAGCATAAAAACAGAAGCAGAATACCCCACAGTAACACGTTACGGATCATTCGGTCAGAGTCCTCGGAGCTACAGACATGGCAGGATCGGACTTCTTGTTAAAGAAGCGCCGAATGAGCAGGCCCTCCGCCCATATTTCTGGGTTCAATACATCATCCACCGTTGGATTGGTCAACTCGAGACGGTATGACTGATACGACTCGTATCTCGTCTGCAATTTGGTAGCCACAACCTCCTCTGCACCAGTCTGCTCTTTAGCATAGAGTTCCACGGCTTTATCGTCCGTGCCAGGGGGAAGCCTGGACACAAACAGAGATACACGCTTTACTGATTTTACGGCAGAGATCACACTCGACTTTTGAAGGCCCACTACACTCTTTTTAGTGGTAGTGAGCTTGCCAGATGCTGAAGCTGTTGGAGGCTTACCTCTCTTGGCCCTATTCGCCACAGACCAGTTCCCGTCTCCCCCAGTCGTAGGGGCGGCCGCAGCAGCTACCGCAGCATACGTAGCAGCTGCAGGCCCGCGCTGCTGACCCCGTCCTGCCTGCTCCTGCAGTGTGGATTCCGAAGGGTGTCCAGATCTGTGCGCCTCATCTACTGAAGTGCTTCCATCCAGACGGGTGGAAGGTTCCCGCACCGGTTGACTCCGCTGTTCTCGTGCGGAGCTACTTCTCTGGTCGGCAGAATTGTTGGCCAGCACGGTTTCCACTCGTCTTGATGTTTCGACGCTGACTTTGAGGACATCATCGAGCATAGTTTTCATCTGCGACATTTCAACCTCCATCACCTGCTGTTTGCGCATTAACGCACTGACGTCAATACAGTCGATGGAAATAGGTGTATTTAGGGCCTTGGAAATAGGCGGGAGTTTTGCCAAGTCTAGGGCCACAAACTTGGGCAACATTCCCCGATCACACTCCAATGCCATCTTGTAAATGTCTTGAATGTTCAGTTTCTTCTTGTTCTGGCCTCGGCGGTTGCCAGCTTTCAGTGATTCCTCTACATGGGAACATAAAAGGCTCTTTGCTGTCTCAACTTCCTCCTCACTGAAGTTCTCTGCAATCAGTTGCACAAGCGTATCTTGCGGGACACTGTCGATTTTGTTCAAAATGTAGCAGAGAAGCTCATTAATAATGGCAGCCATATCGTTGAAGGTGGACGACGACTAGTGGAACTTAGCTTCTTGACAGATCCACATCAACTACGTCACGTGTTCCAATACCAAAAATGGACAGGAAATCAGGGCATTTCGCACGCACCCAAAGATCTGCGAGAAAACACTTATTATTCTTCTGTCCGGCAAATCTTCAGACAACTAATTCACTCACTATTCACTGTCTTGATAACAATAAATCAGTTCAGCTTGTGAAGAAGAAAAAGCTGAACAATCTGAACGCATTACCACTGGTGACGGCGTCAAAAACACAATATTTATGCCAACAAAACAGGAGCTCCGCCAAAAGCTGCCATCTCAGTCAGCTGGCAGCAGCAATAGAGAAAAATTGCATCTTGGGAATGCTAAAAGCAGTCTTAGGAGCAGTTCTAGAGCTATATGCTCATGCATCGATTGAAGGGAGATATAATAAATAAAAAATATAACAATATAACGATTTTTTTATAATCGTTTTCATGACAGGTGATCTGGCGAATGCATCAAACAGTGACCAAATTTGCACCAAATCTCTTTCATATCTTCATATCATATACCTATTTATTTCAGTGTTTTAATCGAAAATAATGTCTGATAATTTGATCAAATCGGCACCGTATCTGGACCAAATGTCTACCAATTGTGTACCAGTTACCTATCATGAAAACGGTTATTCGCAGACATTTGATTGTAGACATTTGATCGATGTAATTTTCGACCTAAAAGAGAGGAAAAGCCGTCTTGGTTTACGGGGCCTGCTAAGCTGTGAGGATGAGGACACGCATACGCCATTACTTTGAACGAACGTTGGTGCCCTTATTTCATGAGGTAAAAACAACTTTGACAACTTTCAGGATCTATGTTTCTTCTCGCACTGCTGTGGCATAAACATTACGTTTTCTTTCTTCTGTCATCACTCATCGCATTGAAATTACAAAAGCATCAAAATTTCAACAACACACTGCTTAGGTACGACTTAGAAGTGTCGCCTCAACGCAGCGAGGGGAGGGGAGGGAGGGGTAGCAACGGCCGACCGCCGTCGGTTCCGTCCGCACATCTGGTTGGGGGCGTCTCCTGTCGCCATCTGTCATCGTGAATGGGGCCGTGCCGACGCGTCAGACGGGACGAACGGGGGAAGTCGGCCCAGAGTCACTGCGCCGCGCGGTTGTGTGAGCAAGCCGTGGGCTAGGTACCGCTCCAGGTCAGACCATGGTTGGCACTGAAGAGTGCGGCGACACTACAGAGCTGTGAACGAAGACGGTAACGGCGAGATGTGGTGACCGCTTGACTGACCTGTGCCCAAAGTCGTGATCTACCGCTGGGGTCAGTGCGTGAGAAGCTGGACTCGGCACCAACGGAGGACGCAGCTCGGCGAGGAATATATGCTGTGTTGGTAATGAACTAAAGCACTTAATTGTAACGAATCCATGATAGATATAAAATGACGATGATACTAACTCAAATTTATTGTAAAAGACAAAGCTTCCGATACACACAATATCTTGATCACTGTCCAGGGTATGCATAACATGACGTAAAAATGACTGAGGTCATCAACCTCCGTCTGAGATTATCCTTAAATTGCCCGGACAATATAATGTCATCAGCCTAATGCTTTATCCGCTTCTGTTCTAGAGGGACGTCTGCCGGTTACGACCGGAAGGTTTCCGACGGGACTTGGCAGAACCCACAACAGCAGTATGAACCCGGCGTGGATGTAATTGCTCGCATGAGCAACCGAAGAGCGACTTCAAGGCGAAGCTGGTAAGCAGTTTATGGGGGTGGGGGTTAGCTTAGAACTGTTGAACAACCTGTCCTTCACCCAAGTCTAAAGGCTGAGACACACTCTTTCTACAGCCAGAAAATCTCATGCGAGAGCCCATTAATTAAATACATGAAATCACGATCGCATCAACCGCTTACAGGGATGTGCGAACGATTGACGCGTTTGTAATAAATACATGTATTTGAATAGGCTCTCGCATTCCATTTTTTTTTTTTTGTCTTCGGAAAGAGCCTGTTTCAGCAGCTCTACTAGACAGCTCTGCTTGTGAAAGGGACTTCATTGTTATCTTGATAAACTAGCAACCGATTTTAATTGTCAAACGGCGTTCATTTATCTGTCAAGTGCTTTCGCGAGGAACTTCGTAAGGCGCAATATAGACGTAAAACATGTATTAGGGTAAGGTGCCTAATTAGCGACCCTTTCCGATTTGCGACCTACCTCCCTACAGAAAAACTGGCATGAGAAAACGGGTAAAAATATCGTCAAAAGGTCAGCCATACTTTGGTTATCAAATTTAATTATTTTCCGGTCGTCGATGTTTCTGGTGGGACGTTTCAGGTGAGTTTAAATAAAAATGACGAGTTTCTTATCCAAAACGTGTGTGTTTGGGCCCTCTCTGATGAAAAGCGATGCACATTAGGATGATGCACCTTTTTTATTCTGAATCGACATTCCTTTTTTAATTGATTGCCGTTTTCCCATAGTGAATCACTCAACTGTGCACAGCATGGCGGTTAAAAATGTGTCGCAACTCATATTTCCTATTTGCGCCCGACATGGTCGCAAATAGCTCAAGAAGGGAAAGAAAGGGGAAAAGAGAGAAATGAAAATGAGGTGTTCCTGAAGCTTGCAATGTGTGGCAGGGGATGCCAAATGTCGTCACTGACTGCAGGGGTGCCGAATTCAGCGCGGACCTCGAATATCATACAAGATAGCCCGCAAAATTTGGGTTTCCGCCTTCTTTTCGCCTTTGGTGCATCACGTGATCAGTTTTTACTTACGTAAATGTGTTGGATAAACGTTCCTGTTCGAGTGATTGAGTGCTTTGCGTATAGGTTACCTTTTTTAGATCATATTTCATCTTTTCAGGCGTCGCATTTTTTGCCATTTTTAATATGGGGAAACCCATAGACTTATTAGCGACCCTCCCCGGTCGCTAATCGGGAAGAGTTCTCTATTAGCGTTTTTTGCAATGGTTTGCCGAGATGCTCACTACAAATAAGTTAGTGAATATTGGGGCAGAAAATGATTACACTTTAATAGAAAAATGAACGATCTCTCCGAAAATCAAGCCAGTAACACAGTGGCACCCACAGAGCGTGAGCAATGACAGTTCAAATTAAGGGGGTCGCTAATTAGGCACCTTACCCTACCTAATGACTTTCCTGGAATGAGAAATATTTAGAAGTACAAATTTTATTATTGAATTTTTATTTACTTTTCAAAGTATATCACATTCAGTGGCGGCGGAAGGTAATTTTGGATGGGGGTGCAGAGTTTTCTCAAAGGGCCCCTCTGGAAGTTTTGGGCCCCCCTTCAGTTTTTTTTGAGTGATTATTATTGATTTATGAAAAATGAAGATTTTGGAAAACTATTCCCATACACACAGGTTCTGTAAAAGGTTTGAAATTGCAGTGTACCTACCTGTCTCAAATAATGAAAGCATACCTAAAGAAGCAAATGCAGCTAGTTTTTTATCGGCTAATCTTTTAGTCTAGCCACCACCCGCAGCGTCCAAACCACTTTTCTGGATCCGCAAAGGACCATTGAGGGTCCTACGAGACCGTTCCAAGAAGACCGTGTTTAGAAGTCCCTTGGAAACCGACCACATAGGGACTCCTCTAGAGACCTATACATGACTCCCCAGACTGAATGAGCCCTCCGATCAGGGTCGGTCCCTTGAAAGTTGCTGAAAGGTTTCAGAAGGCAGTATAGGCTCGAAAGTCTTTTGAGGGCTCTCAGAAACCGGCATCGGACCCAAAAAAGCCTGTATCGAGGCCCTCCAAAGCCGGGATGGAGGCCACAGGAGCCGATGTTTAGCCTAAAGAGCCGGTATGGAGGACTGAATAGAGGAAAGGGATCTCAGTGGGGCCTTCAGGGGCACGCGTTTGAGCCCCAAAAGTATGTGTGGGGTCTTAGAGGCAGGTAGAACCCTGGGGTATGCACGGGGTCCCAGGAGCTCGCGTGTGAGCCCTAATATTCGGCTGGCGGCTACTAGAACCAGCATGGGGATTCTTAGAAGCCGCTTAGACCCACATTTCATGGGTCATGAGTCCCAAGAGTCGATGTAGTGTAGGGGCCATAAAAGCCGGTGTAGGGCCCATGGCCCCATAAGTTCCGACATTGAGACTCTCAGACGCCGGCGACGGGGCACCAAGAGCAGATAAAGTGCCTCAACAAGCCGACATGGGGCCTGAGAATCAGTGTAGAATTCCAGGAGCCTGCGTGAGCTCTCGGAGACCTTCGCATTTCGTAAGGTCCACAAAGGTCGCTGGATCCTCTGAATCTGAGCTCTGCGTGGCCCTCAGAGGCCAGCATGTCTCCTGGCACCTGCCTGCGTTGAGTTGAGACCCTCCGAGGCCGTCGTAGGGTTCTTCAGAGGCCAGTGTTGGCCCTTGAAACCTTCGTTAGGCCCTAGAAGCCGTCAAGAGGGCCCTCAGAGGTCAGCATGGCCCCTGGAGCCTGCCTGCGTCGAGGCCCTCAGAGGCCGTCGTGGGGCCCTCAGATGCCAGTGTGGGCCTTTGGAGCTTGCGTTTGGTATTAGAGACCATCGTGAGGGCCCAGAGAGGTCGTCGTCAGGGCCCTCAGCCCCTCAGGAACCGTCCTGGGTCCTCAGAAGTTGTTGTGAGGGCCTTTAGAAGCCTTCGAGAGGATCATCAGAGGTCGTCATGAGGGTCCTTGGTCATATTGAGGGTCTTCATGGGCCCTAAGATACCTTTGCAGGGCTCTCAGAGGCCTTGGTAAGACCGCTAGAGGCCATTGTTGTTAGGGCCCTCAATAGACCGTTGCAGAGCCCTCAGATGCCAGCATAGCCCCTGCAGCCTGGTTGTGTTGAGGCCCTCAGAGGCCGTCGCTGGGCCGTCTGAAGCCAAATGGGCCTTCAGACTTGAGTTGGGTCTAGGGCCGTCACAAGGACCCTCAGAGACCGTCGTAGAGTCCCTCAGGGGCCAGTGGGGCCCCTGGAGTCCTGTGGGACCCTCAGCGGTCGTCATGAGGGCCCTTAGTGGTCGTTATAGGGCCCCAGGGGACAGAGTTCGTCGTGAGAGCCCTCAGAGATCATCGTAAGGGCCCTCAGAAGCTGTCATAGGTGCCCTCAGAGGCCAGCGTGGCCCCTGGAGTCTCCTTGGGGCCCTGGAGTCTCTGTGGGACCCTCAGTAGTCGTCATGAGGGCCCTTAGTGGCCGTTGTAGGGCCCTAGGGGACAAAGCCCTCAGTTGGGAGCCCTCAGAGATCGTCATAAAAGGGCCCTCTGAGGCCGTCGTGGGGGGCCCTCAGATGCCGCGTGGAGCACCAAACGCGGCTCAGGACACTTCTAGCCGGTGTGGGGGCCCCAAAGACTAGCATGGGGCGCTCCTGACCATAATTGGACATACCGGATTATTCCACATCAGTGTTCGGTTCACGATCACTGGTTTTCAGGAGAAATGTATTGGATGGTGCGACGGGCCCCTTGTACGGATTTTGGGGGTGCAAAAAGATATGTTTGCACCCCCATGTTTTTCGATGGGGGTGCAGCTGCACCCCCTGCACCCCCTATTCCGCCGCCACTGATCACATTCATTTTTTATTTACTATTCAAAGTATATCACATTCATTTTTTTATTTACAATTCAAAGCATATCAGATTCATTTTTTAAGCACATTTCGTGGGGGGGGGAAGTTATAAATAAGTGTAATTTCATAAAATGGCATTCAACATGTTTCAGCGTAAGCTGAAGTTTCCATAAAAGGACATTTCATGTAGTAGCTAGCTGTAAAACCTGATTGATATACCTACAAGTGCACATATTTTTGTTTTTGTCCACAGCCGCAGAATTCCTGGAGATGCGCTGGGACATGGATCATAGCAAAGTGGCTCTCAGCGGCAGCTGACCGCTGAGATGTGTCTGAAACAGCCAGAAGGAAGACTCGAGTTGTGGATCCAGGGCACTACTGAACGGAAGGCCGGACCAGCTGTAGGGAGACTACAGAAAAGCCGTCGTTCTCAATCTGCTGAATAGACTCCTACTGCAGAGGATCAGTTCGACGTGTTAGAACTGGGGTTAGACCGGTTGCCGGTTACCAGTGCTCGTGTTCGTCACCTGTTGTTTGTCACTGCTGCGCTGCTGCTGTAATGTTTGCCACCTGCTAAGCGTTAACAATGTATTTTAAGTGAATAGCTTTTCAGTTTTTTTTTAAGTGATTGACAGGAATATATTTAACATGTAAGATCCATTACAATATTGCATCGCATATTTTTTTAATATTTTATTTTTCAGTGTTTGTCTTGATTTGTAACGAGTATATCAATTATCAAGCATGTTAACCTTTCATCAAATGGAGGGCTCCACATAAAAATAGTATAGGCTGTGGTGGTACAGACACATACCATGCTTGGCCGACTGTTGTGTATTGATCTAGTCGTTGAAGCGTCCTGAAAGTCTGGAAATAAACAGGCGCGGCCAAATGGATTGGTTCTAATTATTTTCCTGTGTGGTTTTATCGTTTCACTATTGCGGGGAGGGGAAACAAGTGGACAATTTTGTTTGTATGTAAACAAGTATGTTTATACAAATATTTGTATGTTTACAGACAAAATAAATAGTCATTGTCAATTTTAATGGGACCCGATCTGCTTCCCAGTGCGGTTTTTACTGGCTTCTCCGTACGGGACAAAAAGCAGACAAGGCAGTGGGGCCATTGCCAAGTCGGGGAACGGCCGGGGCTCGCAAGGGGAAGAGGTCTGGGAACGTTAGGGGAAAATCACGGTTTCCCCGATCGGGGAAGGTCTCCAGTAAGCATAAACCCGTATAGCCGGGTGGGGGAATGTGCGGGGCTCGCACAGGATCTTCTTGGGGAAAATGTTCGATAGCCCCGTACGGGGAACCAAACTTAACAACGGGTTTTAACCATAGTCGGCGCGGGGGTAGCCTGGGGGACGTTTGGGGAACGCTTGGGCAATTATACCGTTTCCCCGTACGAATCCCGCACAAAGTTCCCCGTACAAAGTGTCTCAAATCCCAAGCGAACGCTCCGTTTTCCCCAAGAGAACGGTTGGGGCTTCCCCAAGCCTGCCCCAAGCTCGCCATAGGCCTTCCCCGTACGGGGAAAGCTCCGATTTGCTGGCTGGGGTATTACCGTCATGGACAATCCACACGGGGCGTGGCGATTACAGCCCAGTGACGAAAAACGCTGATTGCACCAAACACCTCATAGTGACGCCTCAATGACTTCTCGCAGGGCCTAAAATGCAGAAGTACCTAATAGTCAAACCTTGCAAGAAATGTAAATTTCACGATGTTTTGTACTTCAGATGGGATAAGTGCATTTTCCACACTTCAACAGTCCCGGAACCGTGTATGTGGCTGTATCAGATTTATAATGCAAGGGATATCAGAAATGATGACTGGTTTATGAAAGTTCATGAACTGTTCTACCAGACACTTGTTTCTTGAACAGATGACCTTGAGTGGAAGAATTCGTAAACCATCAAATAAACAAACAAACATACATTGCTCACGAACTGTTCATGAACAAATATGTAAAAAAACGAACCCTAGTTTAAAAACTACATATTTTATTCGAGCCAGAGTTTGAGCATCTACATACTATACGTAGTTATTCTATATACCTATAAGAACATTTTCCGAACGCCCTTCATGTCGAAGTGAACCTGAGGTGAGCCCGATCCTTTGAAACCGCATGGGCGCAGCTTACCTACATTACATCAGGTACAGTACCTATACCTATTGTCTACTGTAACAAAAACTCAAGTGTGAGGAAAATGAATTAAGCGCACCGTTAGTCAACGAGGACGCAATTGTCTTTAATAAATGAGGATGGACTGTCATGTCAAATGTAATCTTATGTCTATGGATGTATGTGGCATTCAGGATTCATAGCAACCGGTTATTTTCGGAGTCCCTCAACGCTTTCAAGTCCGAACAGCAAATGGACCTCAGTGCTCTCGGGTGACGCTCGGGCCTTTCTGCAGCGCGGGACGTTACAAAAATACCACCGCACAGATGCTCCAGTTGCGCGTCAACTAGAGGTCTGCACCGGCCGGCTGCAGCCGCGGCTGGCTGCAGCCCCACGGCTGTGGGCCGGGGCGGCTGCAAATATCTCCAAGAACACGGCTACGGCTGTGGCCACGGCTGTGAGATTTCAAGCTCAATCTTAAGTACTCAAATATAAAATTTTAAATCCTTAATCTTACATTCTGATAAGCAGTCTAGCCTGTAAAAATCATGCAAAGGATGCCCAGCAGCATTGAAAGTGGTGAAGCCTTTGAAAACCTGTAATGTTTTTACCATTTGCTGTAGGGGAGTTTGCACTCTGGTATAGCCTTACCTTACCTTACCTTACCGATAGCGGGAATTTTGAAGGCCACTTGGCCTGAGAGGTCCCGATCTCACCGAGCTCACGGGCATGTAAGGACAAGCACGAACTTAATCAGGGATGATGTAGAAGATGTCTTTCCAGTGGTTATCGAGGCGGGCCTTGAACTGGTTGGTGGAGGACGAGAGGACCACGTGCGAGGGGAGCGAGTTCCAATCGTTGATTGCTCGGACTGACAGGGTGTTCCTTCGGACTCTGGAGGTGGCCTGCGGCTTCTTGAGCTTCAGTGGGTGTCCTCTGGTAGTGGTGTTGTTCGCCAGCGAGAAGAACTGATCAGGAGCGACGTCAAGTCCTCCGTTTATCAGTTGGTAGATGGTTATCATGTCCCCTCGGCGTCTCCGGTAGTAAAGGCTGGGGAGTTTCAGGTGGTAGAGGCGCTGTGGATATGGCAGCTCCTTGATGTTTTGGACGAGCTTTGTGGCCCGTCTCTGCACTCTTTCCAGCAGCTTCTGGTCAGCTCTGTTGAAAGGGCCCCAGATGACATTTCCGTACTCCAGATGAGGACGCACGAGGGTCTTGTAGAGGCGCGGGAGAGACTCTGAATCAATGTTTTCGAAGGATCTCCTGATCAGTGCCAGCATTTGGTTGCCCTTCGAAGCGGCCGAGGCAGCTTGCTCACGAAATTTCAGAGCTGAATCTACATGTACGCCCAGGTCCTTTTCCGAGTCGGACTGCTTAAGAGCGGTTCCTCTCATGTTGTACACATGACGGCCATTGCTGGACCCAATGTGGAGAGAGCTGCACTTTGCCGCGTTGAATGGCATCTGCCAGGTGTCGGACCAAGTGGTGGCTGCGTCAAGGTCCTTCTGGAGCTGGATGGGCCCAGAGATAGATGACACGTTGAGGTAAATCTTCGTATCATCCGCAAACAGCTTCACAGAACTCTGTACTGCTTCAGGGAGGTCATTGATAAACAGAATGAAGAGTGTAGGACCCAGCACGGAGCCTTGGGGAACTCCACTGGAGACAGGGGCCCATGCAGAAGCCTGTCCACCAACGACAACTTGCTGCTGACGATCAGTCAGGAATGCCCTCACCCAGTTCAGCAGTTTACCCGTCACACCGTAACTCTGTAGCTTGCTTAGTAGGCGCTCGTGTGGGACGGAATCGAAGGCTTTCTGGAAGTCCATGTACAGAGTGTCAATGGGATCGCCTTGCTCAATGATCAGGCTCCATTCGTTGATGACCTCTAGAAGCTGAGTGTTGCACGATCTTCTGGACCTGAACCCATGCTGCCCTGAAGCCAGCAAGTCACCTGCCGACAGATGTTCCATGAGCTCGTCTTTTATGATTGATTCGAGGATTTTACACGGAATGGCAGTGAGACTGACTGGCCGGTAGTTTCTTGGCAGTTGCCGGTTTCCCTTCTTGAATATGGGCACGATGGTCCCGAGAGTCCAGTCGTTTGGCAGGCAGGTGTTGTCCAGGGACTTAGAGAAGATGATGGCCAGCGGTTTGGCCAAGAACTCAGCTCCTTCCTTCAGTACTCTCGGATGGATGTTGTCAGGGCCGGGTGAGCTTGATGTCTTGAGCCCCTTCAGCTTACTTTTCACAATGTCCTCGGTGATACAGACTGACTGTAGGCTGCACCCATTGGCGACAATGAAGGGCGGAGGAACAGTGGAGAGGTCCTCAGCTGTGAAGACTGATGTGAAGTACTCGTTGAGGAGCTGAGCTTTTCCACGGTCATCGCTGATCAGTGCTCCCTTGTCATCCTGCAGGTCTTCAACCCCTCTCTTAGTCTTGAGCCTCGAGTTAGCATATCTCCAAAAGCACTTTGGGTCAGTTTTTGCCTCAACGATGAGCTTCCTCTCGAACTCCCTCCGCAGGCTCCTAGTAAGGGCCCGCAGTTCGTTCTTGCAGCGGCTGAAGCGAGCAAAGTCGATGGGGTCTTTAGACTGCTTGTATATCCTCCATAGTTCTTCCTTTTTGCGCCTTAGTTTCAATGCACGTCGGTTCATGTACAAGTTTCTCTTCTTCCCATTCAGTTTCATTTTGGGCACTGTAATGTCTACAACCCTCTGCAGAGTCTCCTTGAAGAAGTCATAGGCACCATGCACGTTCCCATCATGCATGGCAGTCCAATTGACCTCAGAAAGGAGGACTCGCATCTGGTCGTAGTTCCCTTTAGCAAAGTTGAGCTTCTCATCCTGAGGTAGCTTGCGAGTAGTATAGCAGGTCAAAACAAATCTCAAGACCACATGGTCACTGTTGCCAAGGGGTGCTAGGTATCTCATATCCCTCACCATGCCTTCCTCATTAGTAAAAACTAGGTCAAGCAGGCTGGGGAGCTGACCTTCCCTGTACCTTGTCGGTTCCCTGACGTGCTGGGTGAGATAACAGTCGTCCACCATCTCCAGGAATGAGTGAGATACATGTGAAAGCGGTTCCTGAGAGCTTTTCAGATCCCAGTTAATGTGCGGGATATTAAAATCACCTACTATGAGGAGGTGCGAGGGCTTGCTGTTGGTCACATCCATCAGCAGCTTGCTGAGCTGTTCAATGCTTTGATGAGGATCACTTGATGGTGAGCGGTATATACATCCAATGATGAGCTGATCAGAGCTTTGTAATTTCACTCTTAACCAGAGCTGTTCCCTGAAAGTGTTGCCCTGGTACAAACACTCATTTGAGTGCAGCTTGCTATTAACCAGGATACATATCCCCCTTGTCCCACTGGCACCAAGATCAGCTTCCATGAGATCAAAATTAACGTACATGTTGAAACCAGCTATTGAAAGAAGCGCAGGGTCAATGGGAAGTCGCTGTGCTTTCGGTATGACCTCATTCAGAACAATAACATCTGGTTCATCATTGGTTATCATCATGCAGAGTAGGTCTCGTTTGTTTAGAAACTGATCGGTGTTGGTGTAAAGAATTTTAAGTGCCGTTTCTGCTGATCTAGGCCTGTGGGTCCTCATCCGTTCTTGGCCAGGATTTAGTCAATCTTGGTTCACAGCTCTCGCTGCAGCAGACGTTTGAGTGGCACTGTTGTGAGGTCTGGGACAGGCATTTTCAACTTGAACTGTGGTGTTATCTGGTGCAGCACTTCTTCCATCG